TGCCGTTTCTTCCGCATCTTCTGCTCCTGCCGCGTGCTCAACCCCAGCTGCTGAGCGCGCCCTTCCCCGCGGGGGCACGGCCGGGACCGGGGGCGGGCGTGGAGCTCTCGGGAGGCAGAGCTCCGAGGAGAAAGGCTTTTCGCTAAAACCGGAATACAGTATCCGGAGGCTGCCGGAAGGTGTGTGGCTGTTTCTTTGAAGGTCCAGAAAGCTCGCGGTCTCCTCACCCGGCCCCCTTCAGCGGGGAGTCGCGGATATTCCGCACGCTGGACTTCCCTGGGGCTGGGGAGCTCGGTTAACCCGACTGCTCCCGGGTGGGCTGCCGGCCACAATGCTGCCCCCTACCGTTAAACCTGGGAACACAGGCTGCTTCCAAAGCCCGGGAATGTGGACTACACAGAAATGAGCCGTGCAGGAAGCGCTTTTCGCTCTTTCACCCTTCTTCTAAGGAGCTCCTCTCACTGGCCCCCACCAAAAAAGAAGAAAAGAAAGAAGAAACGTTGGAACGGCATATGCAATCTCACTGGGCTGGCTGTTGGTTCCCACGGTGTTGGGAATAGAGAGGCGGCTACAGCCAGAAGCGTCTGCGTTGAGGATCCTAGGGCCTTCGGAGGCTCCCAGAAGAGCCACTTGAGCCAACTCCTCCCTCTTCCCTCCTTCCCAGGGGTGCTGGAACCTATGAGGAGTTTCTTAAACCCCAGCTAAATGAATGGTCCCCAGGCATTTTTAACTCTAAAATCCTAGAGTTTTAGGTTCTCAAGTAGGAAGCAAGAATTCAAGGATCTTTCCTCACTCCGCACCCCAGCTGTCCGTGGGAAAACAGGCCTGGGCGTAGCGAGTAGGCAGCAATCATACTTAAATTATCAGGGGCTCATTGCCAAAAAATGTTCCAAGCTGTTTTCTAAAAGTTCTGCAGACTTTGAGTCTGTGAGAAACGGAGGTGCAGCCGGCACATCTTCAGAAGAACTGGGGGTTGGGGTCTGGGATACGGCTTTGGGAAGTGAGGGGTAGGAGGTCTGTGCAGAGTTTTAAGGCCAGTCAGGGTGAGGGGTCACATGGAGAATCTCAGCACCTTGGGAGGAAGCGCTCCAGATAACACACTGTACTTGTTCTGCTTGACTGGACACGCTGCTGGGACAAAGGCTAAAATACCACCCATCTGTGTCCCCCAACAGCCAGCTCCAGGTTAGGCTGTCAACACAGTTCTGCCCACTGGGCAAATCTTTGTGTCTATCTGGACTTCCATTTACATATCTATAAAATGGGGACTAATCATTCATGCTGTTTTTGTTATATATGCAAACATATAGCCTCACAGAAAAGCTGCAGTTATTTGATTTGTTTTCTGTCATTTAGGCTGCAAGCCCACTGGGCAAGAACCTTTTGTTCCTTGGCCCACAGCTGCTGCTGAGTAAATGTCATCAGTAAGGAAAATATTGGAAACATATTGCAGCAACTGCTCCTGTGTTTTCCAGACACTGTTCACCAACCAGGCACCGTTTGATCCTCAGGCCTGAGGCTACGGATACAAACCAAAGACTCAGCCCATTTAGCTGCTGGGTCTAGACAACCCATAGAAGACTAATCCATTCATTTATTCAACACATTTGTAGTAAGCACCTTCTGCAGGCCAGGTGCTATAAATACTGTGATGAAACAAATCCAACATAGATGCTCCCTCTCGCTCTGTCTCTCTCAGTGCTGGGGATCGAACCCAGGGCCTAGCCTATGCTAGGCAAATGCTCTGCCACTGAGCTACATCAGCCCCCCAAATGATATCATAGAGAACCTCACTATATAATACACATTAAAGCACTTTAATTAGTATTATAATTATGCACAAAACCCTTGAAATCAGAAATACAGCGGACCCTTGACTTACAAAATTGATTAGTTCTTGAGGGAGGTATGGTTATAAGTCAATACAGCTGAGATCTGGATGTTTACCTGGGTACATGCTATATATAACTATATAAAACTAGAGATAGATTAACAGTTGTCCTCCTTTATCAGACCCAGCAACGAGTTTATTTTGTTTTTTGTTTTGTTTGCACAGTATTGAGGAAGGTTTAAATCACACAGAGAAGTTATGAGGTTCTTAACAGCTTACCCTGTGACCTCAAAACAGTCTTCTATTAAACAGAGCAACAAGGGGTATACTGCAAAATTTGGTCCAGGTGGTTTCCAATGTGTTAAAATTTGGTGCACAGCACATATAAACATGCATTTTTATTACATCTTTTTAAAAGTAGAAAATGGAAGCTTATGATATCACAGAAGTAGTATATACCCCTTCTTTAATTGTGGACCACAGGTCAACTTAATTGGCAATTGTTGGGTCCTTAATCTTAGTTTTTCCATATATCTAAACAACCACAGATCTAGCTCCACTACACACTATCAGGAAATTACTGCTGTCTTTATTTTTTTGTGGTGAGGGAGGGGGTTTGAGACAGCGTCTCACTGTATAGTTGAGACTGACCTGGAACTCACTATGTAGCCCAGGCTGGTCTCGAACTCACAGTGATCCTCCTGCCTCAGCCTCCCAAGTGCTAGGATTATATGCGCCACCTCGCCTGGCCCTGCTGTCTTCCCCCCCCCCCGTACCGGGGATTGAAACTCGGATCCTTGCACTTGCAAGGTAGGCCACCAAACCACTGAGCTAAATCCCCAGCCCCCTGCTGTCTTTAAATGGGAACTTTATAAAGAGATTTAACTCCAAAGGCCAATTCCCATGTGTGAAGAACAGGATAAGTAAAGAATGTGATCTGAGCTGAATTAGCCAAACCACCTGCAGTAAATTTCAGATAAATCTCAAGCAGACTTGTTACTCTCTTTTTTCGTGAGCCAACAATATAGCTGCGTGTGTTTAGAGAAGATGGTAGGGGAGAAAAGGAATGTATTTTATCAGTAAAATCCTTGAAATTTTTCAAATGTTTACGTTCACTTCAGATAGCTTCCGATTGATAGTTTGCATTGAACAGTAGCTAATTACCAACTCTCCCAGCTGGATACGCGAAATGAAGAGTCTGGGAGGTGGCACTTCCCAATGGTGGTGGTGGTAATGATGCTTGTACTATCTTGTTGCCAGGAGAGCCCAGCAGGTGGCTTCATTTATTTGAATCCTGAAGATTTTCATACCTTCCAGAATTCTTTTAGAATTCCTGTACCACTGGCTAGGTAGACTAGTAGAGTAATAGCCACATCGCAGCTACTCAAATCTAAATGCAGCTCCACTAGCCCAGAGTAAGCTCTTGGAATCACTCTTGTACCACATCAGATTTCTAGCAAAAGTCCTAAAGTCTGGACCAACTTGCCACATGCCTGTCCTTGAGCCAATTTGGAGAAGCGATCAATGACTGACCAGGCCTGGATCACATGCGTAAATGGTCCTGGTTCCCTTGACCACCTCCAGCAGGTTTTTTAGCTTTGTTCACTATAGTAGTCTTTAGTGAGTCTCAGGGATCAGAATCTGGGCTTTTCTGCAACCCCAGACCTCCTAAGCAGAACTGACCACTCCCTACTGCTGGCATAAACAGGTCCCTACACCCTTTCCTGAGTTTGACCATGCTACCTCCAAGCCCTCTAAACCCATTACTCCTGTCCCAGACAGGATTTACTGATTTTTTTGGTACCAGGGTTCAAACTTGGAACCTTGCACTTGTGACGCAGGAGGCAGCAAAACTGAGCTAAATCCCCGGCCCATGTCCCAGACAAGATTTAAAAGGGGATCTCAAGTGTTTAGGGGCCTTCTACCACAACCTGATTCATGAAGGGGGTCATGGAGCTTGATGTCCAAAGAGCCCTGCTATGGTGGCAGGCAGGATGCCCAGACCTTCAGAGTGACTTCAAGTAAGTCAGTTATGCCAGGTGTGGTGGCGCATGCCTGTAATCCCAGCACTTGGGAGGCTGAGGCAGGTGGATCACTGTGAGTTCGAGACCAGCCTGGGCTACATAGTGAGTTCCAGGTCAGTCTCAAAAAACAAACAAAAAAAAAGTCAGTTAAGTTCTCTGGGCCTCCATCTCTTCATATTCATATTCTGGTTTCTGCTCAACAGATGTTCTAACTGTAAGGTCCTTCCTAATTCTAGGATCCTAAAATTTCTCCAAAATATTTTCTAAGTATTCTAAATTCACTGTCCCCAGAACAGCTCTGTCCACTACCCTGGTGCCAGCTACAGCCCTTAAAACTCAATATAAAACTCTCTACACACATATAAGAACCATCTGAGCTGATATTTCTGTTCCTGTTCCAAGCTACATGACTCAACAACAGACCTGGATCTCCTCCTTCCAATCCTAGACCACTGCTGCACAAACACTCAAGCCTCATCTTCCCTTCTCTTTCCTGAGGGGAGGGAAAGTTGCAAGGACCAGGCCAGATACAGGACCCTCAACCAATTTCTTTCCCCATGAAGCTTTGATGGGGAGCCCAGATGTAAGGAATAGGGGTGAGGGAGCATATCTTTCATTGTGAGTGCCTGATCAGTCACACATGTGACACATCAGGCAGATCTGAGACCAGATGTGAAAGGAGAGCTTAAAAAAAAAAAAAGTGAAAGGGCCGGGATGTAGCTCAGTGGCACCACACCTGCTATGTAAGTGTAAGGTCCTGAGTTCAATCCCAGTACAAAAAAAAAAAAAAGGTGAAAGGTCCTGAGAATTGGCAGGACATCTCCAAAGAGGAAAGGAAAGGCGAAGATAACAGAAACCATTACTCCTCAACAGACTGGAAGTGGGGGACTTCATGGCATCTCACAGGAAGGAACACATAGAGTGTTTCCTGTGGCTGGGTGGAGAAAGACTGGACAGAAAGGAGGTGCATACCCACAGACAGAGTCCTTTG